AGAACAGATGTTCAAGTCTTGGAAGCTGCCCGAGTCGGTGTAGCGATGTACTAGGAAGATGCGTCAAGTGACTAGCGGCCAAATATGGCCGGCGTTTTGAAGGCGATGATTTTCCGTCTCGGAACAGCCTTCTGTTCCTCCAGCCACGGAGGAGCACGGGGCATGCCCACAACAGCAATGATCTCCGGCCGCCGGCCACGACCAACATCGACGAAAATCCGGTTAAAATTCCAGCCCGCAACAACCGGCCAGCCGCATTTGAGCGAGTAGGTCATTCTGGAGTGTTACCGACAGGTAGAGCGATGTGGTAACAAACCAGGGACAGGAGTAGGGGTAGAGTCTGGTCGCATAGAAGTTGTCGGTTGGTTGGGAGGGTCCCCCCAAAAGTGAAAAAAGAAGGGATGTGAAACACTATGCTAGGTCGCCCCACACACGTTGGGCGTCGTGCGGAAGGCCGAATCATCGCATTGGCACATCACTGACGGTTGCCGGAAGCAGTCCTAGATACCGAATAACATGTCCGAGTCTGTTTCGACTGTACACTCACTCTCAGTCAGAGTACGCTCGAGTTGCGCCTTGAGTCGTGGCGATTTTTTATTCCCGACGCCGAAAATGTTGGTGGTGTCTGCTGGACGAAGATCATTTTCGTTGTGGCCATGTGTAGTACTCAGCGTGTCGGAGGGATCACCGGCGGGGGGAGATTCCTCCGATGCCAGTGGTCCGACAAGCCAAGTTGCTTTAGACTGCTGGACCGGGGGGGATCCGCCGGACGGTTGGGATTGGTCAAGAGTGTCAGGAAATGACTACGAGTCGTATTGGATAAACCGCTTTGAGGTACCATTGGACAAGGAGGGGTTTGATTTCTTGAGGCTCCGCGTTTCGTCTAAAGCGTTGTGTCGTCGCAAAGAGTGGGTTTTGAGGGGACCATTACTTGCTGCAACCGTGAATAAGCCTGGGTATGATGCAGAGTCGTGGAGTCTGGTGGAAGCAGGTTCAATACGTCCAAGTTACATTCCAGTACTACCAAGAAGACGGGCGGCTAATATTCCGGTTCAGGCTACGGGGATGCAAACAGATTTCGGAGCATACCGGGCGTTGCATGGGACGCTGTCCCGCCAGGCGTGGGGACGCCTGAGGACGATAGAGCCTAAAGTCTTCGAGAAGTGTGCGCTGGCGTATGTGGAACTTGGGGCTATCATTTCCAGGTATTTCGAATCGCCCTATGGCCTTGTAGATTTTCGTGTTAAAGCCTGGGTACGGGCTACCATGCAGTGCCGAAGACCAAGACCCCGACGGGTGCGTCATTGGATACTGGGCTGCCTTCTACAGCACAGCGGCGCTTCCCTCCAACAGCTGGGGGAGTTCTGCGTCAAAAACTTGGCCTACAACCCTTCAGCGCCGCTATCCAGTCGCCGCGTACTCTTATGTCTCAGGTCCCAACCGAAAATGTCCTCTCGCCAAAGAAGTCCGGAGTTGCGACTACGTTTGTTAGAACAGATCCTACACGGACTACCGGAGGTGTCGGTAAGGAAATTCGGAACCTTAACACAAAGAGCACTGAACGAGGCCTTGCAGCCGGGGTTTAGAAAGAACACGCCATGTTCGGGAAAAAAATTCTTGGCCCGAAGAACAGGATCGTTGTCGCCTGTGCCAGAAATTCTGACAACGAGTGGGACTCTGACATCCCATCAGCCTTTGACGGAAGTTCGTATGGCCGCCACTGAGAGCATGACTGAGGGCTTTGCTTGGGATGGCGTGTCTGATGTGGGCCACATCTGGAGCCACACACAGCACAACACGGACGAACAGCGGGCGAGAAAAAGGAAAATTTCACATGACGAAGGAAACTGGAGTTGGGCCGAGGGTGGTGGTCCTTCAACAGCACTTGTCAATGAAGGACATGTAGTGAACGAGAGCGTCATGAATGCAGACGCCGAGACATTCTGGAAGGAGTATGGTGCGACATTCCAATGGGGTTGAAGAGGAGGTTCCAATAAGGTATTAAAACCTACCCGTAGTCGCTAGGCTCTAATACCCCAGGCTCTGGTCGGTCCATCGCACTGAGTTTTTGATGCGAAAAAAAAGGAAGCATTTGCGTGAGCTGAAAACATCAAACGGTATGGGGGTCGGGGAATGGTCCAGTAAACGGTCAGTTGGTCAAATGGTTGTCCATCAAACAACGGTCTAGAGGAGGCGACAAGAGCGGCCCATATTCCTTCCACACTACCTCAGCAAATGTGTCAACGAAGCCGGCGCTCACTGCAGACTCTGGGTGATTATTAACTAGTCGTTCCAGTCGTTGAAGGGTGTTAGTTGGTTGTAGACATAATTTATCAAAGCGCCGTGCATTACAACGTAGCATACCTGTTTGGCTTTCAGTCGCCTTCTTCTTCACCATGCGGAAATGTTCCTCAGATGGGTTTCTCTTTCTCAGCGTCCCATCAACCACTCCTGTACCTTGCACGGGTTCTGCAGCTGTCACGTGAGATTTTGTCCAAGACTTACCCCAAGACTGACCCAAAGGCACGGCGGATGCTTTTTCAGCTACACACCTCCTGTCGCATATCCCGTGGTCCTCCATTTCTGATTGGGTCAGTTTTGCGAACTCCTTCGCCGATACGACTGGTAGTCCTGACAATGTTTGTTTCAACAGATACATTTTTGACGACGTATCTCTTTCGGACAAGGACTCCCGCGGGTACTCTTTTAAACATTGCAATGTGGATCGCCGATGCGGAGGGCTGTATCCTAACTTCTTAATGCAAAATTCCGCTAGCCGTTCGGTGAGCGCCCCTGAATGTTGCAGAAGACATCCAACGGTCCACATACGCCTTCGATACTTGATGTTTCCCGCCTCCCTCGAAGACATCAAGTTTGCGATCGCGTCTTGAATAGACGTATCTACAAGGCCGTAGGGTTCTGTGAAGTACGAGGAGATTATTGTACCAAGTTCCACGTAAGCAAGCGCACACCTCTCGAAACTTGACTCATCAATAGACGTCAGCCTCATCCATTCGTCTGATGATAACGATCCATGCAACACCTGGTATGCTTCAAAATCACTCAACACTTTCCCGGACTCCGCCGGCTTTGTCAGCCGCCTACTTCGACTCAAAACTGGGATGTAATTCGGGCGAATCGTTTCTGTTCCGGTTGTCAGTGCCCACGAGTGTCCTCCTGACCTGCGTATAAAGTCAACGAACGCAGCCCCCCTTCTGGTCCAGATCCCGCGACGGTAGTAGGGTTTCGTTGCAGCCACTGACCTCAGTAGTTCAAATCCGGTCTCATCCAAGGGAATCCAGAAACGACTTGTCCAATGCGACTCATAGTTTTTTTTTGTGACACATGACCAGTTCCAATAGTCCTTGCCGACGCTGGACCCCTCCTTTCTTGTCATCTTCGGACTTCTTGAAACACATATCCGAGTGTTCGTAACACGTGGCGAATCTACCGCCTGTTCGGACGGGCTTCCCCCCGACACGCCTTGTACCAAACATATCCACAAGGTCAACGGTCTCCGTCGACAAGGTGGCGACTGCCGCATTAACTCCCGATAACCACAGAGCAACTGGTGTATATTTAACGACCTTAACACACCCCAGGAAATACGGCCAAAAAATAATCGCGCAATTGATCCACAGGAAAGAAAGTCAGTCCCCATCCGAATGTCATGAGTCTCCAGTTATCTTCGAGTTGTTGAACGGTTGGGGAAACACCTGGAACTTCATTGGTTGCGTTTGAGAGGTGCCCAACAGTTTAATCTTGGATGGCTTGCCGTCGGTCTTCCGACCATCCGCACATCGACCACCGGCTTTTGGATCACAGCACCGACTCTGGCCGCAGCACCGACTCTGGCCGCAGCACCGACTCTGGCCGCAGCACCCACTCTGGCCGCAGCACCCACTCTGGCCGCAGCACCGACTCTGGCCGGCTGTTCCGATGCGCGGCGCATGTAGTCTATCAGCTGCCTTCCAGTTAGTTCTGCGAATATTCGCGCCGAGACCACTGGGAGTCCGGTCAGGTAGCCCTCTAAGCAACTGCGATCGTAATAGAGGATCTTT